TGGGGCGGCAGGCGAGGGCCCGGGCGGTGCGGACGACGAGGGCCCAGTGAGACGCCAAGGGAAGGTCACCGTCAAGTACGACCGCAAAGAGCTACGGAAGCGCCTCAACCTAGAGGAGTGGATCTTGGAACAGCTCACGCGCCTCTACGACTGCCAGGTGTGTTCCCCACCCCGCGCCGACACCCTAAGATCAGTCCCCGCGTCGTCTGCCAGGCAACCCCACCGTGAGTCCGCTGTCACCGGAGTCAATGGGCGCTTCGCTTCCGCGCGCACCCTTCTCCGCACTCCCCGCCCCCAGTGTGTGCTCTTTCTTGTCTGACCTAAGTCCTTCCAGCCTTCTCCGCTGCCTCAGACCCGGCCTCCTTCATGCCACTCCCCAGGTCAAGCGTGGTGTCCTCCAGAAACCTCGAGGGATAGCCTGGCATGGGGCAGGACAGGGGCGAGCCTGGGCTGGTAGTGGAAGGAGGTCTAACCCACCGGCTTAGCTTAGACTTGCTAAAAGGCGCTGGTCTGACTGGTGAGGGTACTCTAAAGGGTCTGCTTGTTTTAATGGGCGAGCTCGGAGCCCTGTCTTGGTGTACGGGCAAGTTAGCTCCATCTTTGGTCTCAGGTCTCTGGTTCTCCACCCCATGACTCCCTGTTTGCTCAGATGGTGACTCAGGCCCCCCGGGGCAGGGTGGAGGAGTGGGCTTGCCCGGTGCTGCCTACCCTACCCTAGCCTGGCCCTGGAATGCAGCTGGCTCTGAAGGGGATAGCTGCTTCCTGGGGGGGAGGGGTGGTGGGCGCCCCCTCCCTCCCTAAAGCATGGGCTCTTTGTTTCCACTTTTTCAGGCTTGGGTTCTTCCCACTGACCCCTCACCCTTTACTTCCTCCTCACTCCCAGGAAGCTATGACAGGTGTTTGGGGGAGGGGAGGGGTTGTGATGAACTGGGACAGCTGGTCCCACCAGTGCTCTGTTGAGATGGGGGGCCCGGAAGTCCAGGAGACACATCTGCCAGGTTCCCAGCCCAAGGTCCCCAGCCCTGGCTGTCTGGCCTTGTCTGGCACCCCCGGTGCCCACTGGCAGGGACAGGAAGCTCCCCCCATTGGGCAATTTGCCTTGGCACAGGCTTGATCTGTTTTCCTTCTCAGAGCAGCTGCCCTGTCTGCTGGGCAAAGGCACGGCTGGTGCTGAGGTAGGCAGGGACCTCAACTCCAAACCCCTCTCACTCCTCCTGAGTCTTGTCCTGTCCCCCCCCCCCACTGCCACCCCAGGAAGAAGAGATCCCAGAGCTGGAGATTGACGTGGATGAGCTCCTGGACATGGAGACCGATGATACCCGGGCTGCCAGGGTCAAGGTGAGGGGGGTTGGGCAGCAGGTAGAGGGTTGCCTGGAGGCACTGCCCCTTGGGAAGGCGAGGCCCTGGAGCCAGGCCTTCTCTGGTCTGAGTCATTTAGCTGTTACCTCAGGTCTCAGTTTCTGCCTCTGAAAAATGGGTTTGATGGTACTTGCCTAACTGTGACATTTCTGCCTCCAGTTGGCCCCTGTTCCCTGGAAGTGGGTATAGGGGAACTCTAGACCCCCATCCCTGAGAACTCACAGTGTACTTACCCCTCCTTCACCCCACCCACTAGGAGCTGCTGGTTGACTGTTACAAACCCACTGAGGTAAGTGGTTTTCCCAGAGGGTGGGATGGAGACGCAGCTCCTATCACCTTGGGGGGTCTAGTATCCCTAATGCCACCCCCTCCTGTCTAGGCCTTCATCTCTGGCCTGCTGGACAAGATCCGGGGCATGCAGAAGCTGAGCACACCCCAGAAGAAATAAGGGTCCCTGACCCAGGTGAATGGTGGCTCCCACAGGACAATCGCTGTCCCCGACCTCGTAGCAACAGCAATATCAGAGGACCCTGTGGCCAGGCCTGGTGCCATGAGCAGGGTTCCCCATGCCCCTGGCTTAGGGGCCTCTTCCCTTGCCCCCTCAGTTTTCCATTTTTGGGGTTTTTTATTGTTATTAAACTGATGGGACTTTTTGTGTTTTTATATTGACTGCGGCGCGGGCCCTTTAATAAAGCTAGGATCCTTTGGAGCAGCTAATAGGCTTGGCTGGTGTTTTAGGGGGTACACTTTGACCTACAATTGCTGCCAGCTCAGCTTCTCCCCAGGTGACCACAGGTCTTCCTAAGGGCCATGTAGCCATGGCAATATACCTGTGCTGGCTCCCAGACCAGGCACTCAAAGGAGCTGGGGAAGCAGAGTTGCTGGTGACAGATGTGAACACTATTTCCCCTGGGCAAGGTCACCATGCCACTGAGCCTAGACCTCCAAGGTTCTGCAGTCAGGAAAGGAGAGCAGGGTAGGGAGATACCTGGAAAAGGGAGAGGCTGAACTATGGTATTTTTTTTGTCTTGTGAAGCCAGAGGGGGACCTGAGCATGCTAAGCTAGCACTCTACCACTGAGCGTGCCCCAGCCCTGAAGCTGTCTTAACCTCTCAGAGCCCACAAAGAAACACAGGTTCACTCCTTGAGCTTTTAAGGATTTTTTTGTTTTTTAAAGTTTGGTCCCTGATGGCCCCCCACCCCCTGCCCCTCCATGGCAGCTGGCTACAGTTCTGAACGTCGTTCAATCTTGAGCAGTTCCACCTCGAACACCAGGGTTGCGCCACCTGGAGGGAGAAGTAGGGTTAAACTTGAATCTGGGCTCCAGGGAGAGGGTGGGTGGGGTGGTAGGAAGGGTTATTACCTGGGATCTTTGGGGGAGCTCCCCGTTCTCCATACCCTGTCAAAAACACACAAGAAACAAAGTGAGCTGTGCCACGTTCTCTTCTAATAACTCAGGCAAAGAGAGGAATGGTCCTGCAGAAGCAAGGCCAGAAATGGAGGTGAGATGAAGACAGGAAGGGATACCACAGGCCTGCTAGAGGACAGAGGATGGGCACTATAGCTAAATGCCCAAGCCTTGCCCTGTCTTCATTGCTGGGCACAGCCAGACTGGAAGGAGGCATGTGCTGTAGTGAATGGATAAGGTGGGGATCAGTGAGGCTGAAGCTACCTTCACCCTTCCCCCCAAAAAAAACCCACAGGGACTCTTACCCAGCTCAGATGGGATCACTAGCTTCCGCTTTTCCCCCTCACACATCCTGCAGGAGAACACATGCTCAGCCAGGGCAATACCCAGGCTCCCGGTGGGGCTTGCCTCCCACAGCTCACCTCCTAGGTCATGGCCATACACACCCCAGCCCTCCAACCCCAGACTCACCCCAGCAGCCCCTGGTCCCAGCCCTTGATGACCTGGCCTGTGCCAAGGGAGAAGACAAAGGGCTGGTTCTGGGGCAGGCTGCTGTCAAACTCCGTCCCATCTTCCAGCTTTCCCTGTGGAACCATGGGAAGACTTGTGAGCAGAAACCACTCCTGATCCCCCTCCTCAGCTGCCCTTCATCAGGCCTGCCCCCATAGCACTGTGGCCACAGACCTTAAGGGCACAGAGCCTGGTGTTGCTCACAGTTCATTCTAAAAAATCTGCTGGTGGCCAGGTATGGTGGTGTGGGTCTGTAATCCCAGCAACTCAAGAATCTAAGGCAGGAGGATGACAATTTCAAGGCCAGCCTCAGCAATTTAGCAAGGCCCTAAACAACTAGTGGCGCTGAAGGGCTGGGGGTGTGGTTTAGTGCCCCTAGATACAGTCCCCAATACAAAAAAAAAAGAATCCTTCTCGTGTCCAGCTGGGCAGCAAACAGTAAAGGATGAGAAAGAACTATGAAAATGTACTTATAGGTGAGAAGGGACTTGCCCTATGTCACCCACCTGGTTGGGGAAAAAGCCAGACTCAAGTTCTTTCAGGTCCCCAGAAGCCCCACCCACTCCTAGGAGCTCCGCCCCTCACCCACCGTGTAGTGCATGTGCAAGACGTCTCCCTTGCGCGATTTGATGGGACAGTGGTCCACCCGCTTCTTGACCCCGATCTGAAGCTTCCGTTTGCCCTCGGCCCTCGTGGCGATGGCCAGGGCACTCAGGCAGACGGACAGTACTGTCAGGATCCAGCTCAGCCTCATGTCTCTGCGGGCACAGACCCCGACCGACAGACCGGGAAGAGGGTGGGGAGGGCATGGAGCACCACCAGATACCGAAAGGATTCCACCCCCAGCGAAACCTTGCCTGCCCCTGGGGACTCCCCTGTCCCGGGTCACCACCCTCTCCCCCAAAGCTCCGCGGCCACACTTACCAGTCCAGTGAGAAGGGGGCTTGGATGAGGACCCCAGAAGCGAGGGGAGGGGGTCAGGGGAGGCCACAGCAGCCAGGGCCCCGCCCCTTTACTCACCCCCAGACCTTCCCTCCCTCGCGGTCCCCACCTCTGCTCCTCAGTTCCCACCCGTCCCTTTACGCAAAGTCCAGACCCTATCTGACTGCACAGCAGTTGCCCCAACCGGGCGGCCCCACTCACGCCACACCCAGCTGCCCCCTGCCCAGCACACCCACACCTCTGAGGCCGCTGCAGGGGGTCGGCCCCGAGGCACCCACACATCCCCACTGGGTGGCTCCGGGGAGGCCCGGTCCTCCGGAGGTACCCCCCAGCTTGGCCCTGTGCCTCCTGCGGAGGCTCCACCCCAGCTCTGCGCCCTGGGGGGCCTCCGAGGCACCCAGACTGGCCCAGTGTCGGCTGGCCGCCGAGCCCGCTCCACCCATACCACCTCTCCCGGGGGAGTTCTCGGCCTACCGCGTCCCCAGGCTCGGCCACCACGGAGACCGCCCCCGCGTGGACGCCCCGGGCCATTACTCGTGTTTAGCCCTTCGCTTGGCTCCTTGGCTCCGCCCTTTAGAGAGTGCAGTTCCGCCCCCGGCCCTGAAGCTCCGCCCTCAGCCGAACTAGACCCCTTTTCCTGAACCGGAGCCACGCCACTCACCGGCTGAGGCCCCGCCCCCAGTGCCTGGGCTCCGTCCCCCTCGGTCTCCGAACTCGAGGCTCCGCCTTCCACCTGTTCCAGCTCCTCCTCCAAGGGATAGGCTCCGCCCCCCAGCCGTCCTAGCTCTAGCCCCCGTTCCCGAGCTCCGCCTTCCACCCGCACCCGCTCGGAAGGCCCACCCGTTTCTATTCCACGTCCCGCCCCGAGCTCCAGGGCTCCGCCCCGTGCGGCGTGAGAACCCTCCCCCTGCGGCATCTCCGGACAGCTCCGACCCCAGCCCGTTTCCTCGTCACCTATCCCTCGCTGACACGCGGAGCCCCGGCCCGCTTCTGCCCGGCCTGATCCAGCCTGCCCTCCTGCACCCCGGTTCCCCCCAGCCCGGGCTGTGGCCCCCGCTCACCTCCTCGCCGCGCCCCCGGAGTCAACCCCGGTCGTGCTGCCGCCTCTGCGCAGGCGCGTCCTTGTCGCTGCAGGCCAGGCCACGCCGCCCTCCCTTATTGGACCATACGAAACCCGCTGCCACACCCCCTAGCACCGCTTCTCCCCTGGCTCCGCCTCCCGTATCGCCACGTGACTTACACGTCACTTCCGGTGGAGTTGTAGTCCGTTAGTTTCGGTCAAAATGACTTCTAAAAGGGTCAGAGTGACATTTTCCGTGCATGTATATGTCAAAATACATCTACTGTCATGTATGTCAAAAGAGAAAAAATAAAAAATTATTAAGAAAAAAAAAGGGTCAGAGTGACGTTACAGTCAAGCAGTCATGGGTTCCCCAGGAGGTCTTGAAGTCCCTGGCCTCTTCCACAGCAATCCTGCTTGCCACTGGCCTCTTCGTACACTCCTGTTCGGGAAGAACTGGGCTTCGGAGTAACACTCGGGTTTGAAGTCCAGATCTGCCATTGGTTGTGGCTGTGGGAGCTTGAGCGGTTTCCTTCGCCTGGTAGATGGGCTTGACGACACCCACCCCACGGCCTGTGCAGGACTGGGATGATGTGCAGCGCCAGGCCCTGAGTTCGTGAAGGCTCCTCCCCTCTCCTCTCCTACAGCATCCGTGCCCACCTGCCTGTGCACACCGAGTGAGCACCGGGTCATGACTGCAATAGTCTGGCTGGGCCTATTCCTACAGGACAAATTAATTTTCAGGGACCCCATCACCCACTAGTGCCCAACTGGTGGAATCAACAAGTAATCAACCTGTGGCTGAGAAGCAGCTAAACCTAGGTGCAGTGTTAGGTGTTAATGAGACACTTAAGGCCTAATTTCCAGGCCAATTTGCCTGAGTCCATTTCTTCAGTTAAAAAAAAAAAAATGATGACACAGACCTCAAGAATTGAGTAAGCCAGGAGGTAAAGCGCAGCATCATCCATGTCTAGTGGGACTAAATGGACCCAGAAGTGGTAGCTCTAGGGCCTTAAACCTCATCTGTCCCACTCAAACTGGCCTATGGCATAATTGACCTCACAGCTAATGAAATGATTTATAAGCAGTAATCACATTCAGGAACTTTCTTTCTTCTTTTTTTTTTTAAGAGAGAGAGAATTTTTATTTATTTATTTATTTTTAGTTTTCGGCAGACACAACATCTTTGTTTGTATGTGGTGCTGAGAATCGAACCCGGGCCGCACGCATGCCAGGCGAGCTCGCTACTGCCTGAGCCCATCCCTAGCCCCAGGAACTTTCTTACAGTTTAACCCACTTCTTCCTTGGGCCCACTAAGACCATGAGTACACCCTCTGACCCAATACCTACCTGCTTTGGGTTAACTCTGCCTCCGAATGTCGTACCTTAGCAGGGCAAAACATTGGTACCCAACACTGACTTTGGGTCCATTGCCTTGCCACCCAGCCCTGGGCACTGAAGGTTACAGGAAGAAAAGTGGATGCTGAGCTTGATTCAGACAAGTCAGGAGTCTCATGTAGCCACAGATGAGGGAGCACCAAGGTGCCAAGGAGGTGAAGGTGGAGAAGACAGTGTGGGTTGAGTTGAGAGGAGCCCACAAACCTTTGGTACTTTCCTTTTAGGCAGAAGTAAGTGAAGGACAGGACAGATAGTAGCCTTAGAGCCTAACAGGGAAATGATCAGGTGAACACAAGACTCAGACTTTGTGTTCAAACACAGAAATCCACTGTTCCCTCCATGTGTCCATGGGGAAACTGAGACTCAGAAAAAAATGGGCAGAGGGAGCCAAGGTCACTCAGCAGATCTGGGTCCAACTTCAAGGTAATTAACCATAGAAGACAGAACCCTTGTAATAAGCAGGGGACAAGAAATGTGCTGAATCCATGGTTCTGGCTGTCTGGGATCTGCTGTGTGGGCTCCGACCCCACTGCCTCCATCTGCATGACACAAGACGAGCTCCAGGTCTTGCAGGCAGTGAGTAATACAGATACTCCTATCCCAACCAGCCAGTCTGGACAGTGACAAACAGTGACACAGGCAGGGATAGCTCCTTCCATCTCTTTTATCAGGGTGTGGGGGGGTCACAGTTTTTGTATCAAAGCCCATTATTTGCAGAGGTTGGGGTCTTCTTAGGGGAGGCAGGAGCCAGGTGTAAGACACTCAGTTGCACAAGTTAGTTAAAAACTGAGGCAACACCCCATCCCCCCAAGCTGGCATGTGACCCCTCTTGCTGCTGCCAAATCTCCTCATCAACTTTGTTAGATGGCAGCCTCGGGAGACAAACGATGGCAGGAAAGCCCTCTGAGAAGCCCAGGTCCTAAAGCAGATTCCAGGACTTGGGGCTGGCTCTTCTCCCCAGGCTCTTCTCTTCTCCCACTGGGGTGTGGCCTGTGAAGCAAGTGGCCCACTGAGTCTGAAAGGTAATGTGTCACCTTCGCAGCTTCCGGCACCTGAAGATGGAAGGAACAGATCGGTTGTGAGGCTGGAATGCAGCCCCAGCTCCTCCTGATGAACTCCCTTGTGACCTCCTGTGAACCTCATTCTCCTCTGAATCTCCAAGGAATCCCCTACCCCCAGCCTGGCCTATGTCATCTCATGACCTCAGTGTAGAACACGGGTGGTGGGAGACACCGCAGACAAAGGTGAAGAAGGGGTTCCAATATATCCCGTTTGCTCAGCACCCATATAATGGGGAAAATGTCTGTGGTATAGGCTTCTAGGAAGGCCCAGACCTCTGCCTCTGTCCTCCTCATTTCCATTCTAGGTAAATGTCACCTCCTCCAGGAGTTGACTAACACCTCAGATATGTCAGGTGCCCCACTGCCACCCTTAGAATTCTCTGCTGGCACCACCTTTCCCCTTTACGAGTTGTGTTCCTGCTGATCCCAGTGCCAGCAGACATTTGGTAAATGTTTGTTCAACAAGCTCAACAGCTTCCCCTTCCCTGGCCTTCTCCCACTGGCAGGCTCGCCTTGGACCTGCTCCAGGATGTGGCCTTGATGCCTTCCCAATCAAGTGCCACCCCACAAACCCTCACCTGCAGGTGTGTGGGTTGAGCTCTAAGCCCCGCCCTTGGCAACGGAGGAAGCTGCGGCGTCGGCAGCGGCAGTGGCAGGTCCGTGGGTCAGGGCGCTGGCGGCGCTGGGTGCAGCGTGGGCAGGGGGTCCTGGGGCTGGAGTGGGATGGGTGATGTCAGCTGGGGAGGGTGCTCCAGGAGCAGAGTCCCAGCCCTGAAGAGAGCGGGGCTGGGGACGGTGGTGGGGAGTGGCAGCCCTAGGAGGAGAAGCGACATGTCTGGGGCGGGAAGGAAGAGTCTTCCCAGGACTTGGATTTGGAGAGAAGGCACAGATTCAAGGAGCAGAAGAAAATGGACAGGGGAACCAAGTGGGAGGAAGAAGAGGGGACCACAGCTTCCTGACTGGCTCTTGCACTCCCTGGCCACCCACATATTATATTCTGAGTGCCGGGCCTGAGATCCTACCCCTGCTCTGCAGGAGCCCAAAGGGACTCACCTGTCTGGCTTCACAGCACTCTCCTTTTTTTTTGGTCTGAAAAGAGAAGGCACAAAGAGGAACAGGGTCAGAAAATTCATGCATCCTGCTCTCTTGCCCAAGATCCCAGGTCTATCTTAGGCTCCACTCTTAGAAACCCAGTCCCCACCGTGGTGTACCACCACGCCCGCACCCCCATGCTTGGACTCTGCAAGTTCAGAAGTTGGGCCTGGCTGGCACCTGCATTCACATTGGCTGTGTTCTTCCAGGGACATCTCCCCCAGCTGACTGCTTGGATACCGGATCATGAGGATCTGTGCTCAGGAGAAGAATAGGAGACACAGCAGGGAGGGGGACAGGAAAGGGGCTGGAGAGAGAAGAGCTCATCCAACAGCCAGGGCCTGGCCACCAACCCCCAGCCTCCTGTCCTCCAGGCTCTGGGCTGGCTCAGCTCCCAGAGTACCAGTGTCCCCCCAACTTGCTTGCCCCATTTGCCCTGGTACCTGCATTCGGACTTGGTGCTGCCCGGTGGGCACGCACTCCAGGCCATCGTCAGGGCAGCAGCCACCGCAGCGCTGCACAGTCACACAGCTAGGCACCAGTTGTTTGGCCACAGTACCCATGAGCTCCACAGTCAGGGGCACTACCACCTCCCGAGGCTGGCAGGTGGCACGAGCATACACGTCTATCCATGACACCACTGCGGGCAGACCCACAAGGGTTAATCCCCACTGGGTTTCCTGCAGCTGCTCCCAGCAGCTGTTTCCCCAGTTCCCACGTCACAGCCACCTTCCACTAGCAAACCCCCTCTGCTCTTTTAACCTGTCTTCCCGCCCATGATTGTCAAGTAACCCCTCTGCCTCAGTGTCCTCCTCTGTGAAACGGGATAGTTTGCATCTTACAGGGGAGTTTTGATTTCACATGATGATAGACACCAGGAGCCCCGAATCAGTGCAGTGACAACTCCTTAGAACTGGCTTGTGTGAAATTATTGTAAAAATTACCTTTCTTCTGGTGGCCAGGGACATCAGGCTGGGAGACAGGGGCCTGTGGGGAAGAAAAGACCTGGACCCAAGGTGCCCTCCAGGGGAAAGTAGTCCTGAGACTATCCCTGGGGCTCTGCCCTTGAGTCAGGATGCTTCACGGCCTCACTGACATCTTTCCGATTCCTCGTTCCTAGGGCCTCCACTCTAGCTTTACCTGTTGTCTCCTGGCCACCTGGGCCTGCCCTGGCCCAAGACCGGCCAGATGCGCTCTACCGGTGCCATCAAATCTCCTCCAAGCCTTGGAGCCAGGTTTGCTCTGGTGTTGCAGGTCAGGAGCGGGCACAGTGGGCGCTGAACCAGGTCTTGTGGGCACTGAAGCAACTCCGCCCCCCACAGCACCCAGGGGATGGGGTGGGGTGGAGGAGTGGCTCCAGAACTGGACTGGCGGGCCTTGGAGGAGGGGTATCTCCTGGTGGATGCCTGGGCCGCCGGGGGTCCCCACGTTGCTCAAGTTGGAGGCCTAACCTGCTGATCCCCTCGGCAGAGGCCGCTCGGCGCCTCTCCACTTCCGCCAACCTTGAGAGGGCACGGCGGGCAGGCGGGATATTGGGGACGCACGTACCTGGGCTGGGGCCAGCTGCAGGAGCACGGCGAACAGCAGGCGGCGGAGC